ATCTATCTATCTATCTATCTATCTATCTATCTATCTATCTATCTATCTATCTATCTATCTATCTATCTATCTATCTATCTATCTATCTATCTAGCTAGCTAGCTAGCTCTATATAGATAGAGTTATGATCTTGGCCTAATTACTCGTTTCATTCACCTGTCTAACTCTGCCCAGTTATCTATTACTGTTCATCTGCTCCTGCCTCTATTTAACCTGCCAGCTACCGTTCATCAGGGCATTATCTTTGATCTAAAGCCAGCGTCATTGGGCCAGATTATTAACGAGCCAGTTGTGAGAGTTATTCAATGTTACCTGAGTGTTTCTGATGACCTGATCCTGACCTGTTCTGCCACTCAACCACTGTGCCTGCCTGTTCCCATCCAATCGTTTTGCCTGACCTGTCTATGGACTCCTGCTGAATTCTGCCTGTTTGCTGAACTTTGAGCCGCTTCCTGTCACTGATCTGATCTCCCTTTTGAACTTCTTCGTACTTCTGGCGTTGTGGTTCTTAATCCTCAGCAAGTCCTCCATCCCGGCTTTGGCTTCAACCTGGGGATTACCCTGCCTTCATTTGTCTGTTCGGATCTGATCTCCTTCTTGTGTCAGGTTAATGTTTCTGTTATGCTTTTTTTCTTTTGAGCATCCAGTTTTGCTTTGCTCCTTGTTTTCTAGTGTTAGTGGTTTTAATTTTTATTTTGCTGTGTTCTTTGGTATATTCCCAGTTACTTTCCTAGTCTTGGTTCTGTTATGTTTTCTTTTGAGTGTTTAGTTTTCTTTTCTGCATGTTTTATTGTCCTAGTGGTTTATTTATTATTTTGTTGCTATTTCCAGTCTTCCAGGTTTTTTATTTGTTGCTCTCTGCTGCCCTCTTATGGTCCTCTTTTTCCCTAGCTCTTTCCCTCTCCTGTTCTGTGCACACCTGCTCCCAGTTTCCTCATTAGCCCTCTCTTTGTCTCATTCTCCTTTAAAAGCCCTCTCTCTTCTATTACTCTTTGCTAGGTCCTCATCAGTCTTCCTTCACTTCGTCTCTCTGAGCCCTCCTTGTGATTTTGATTCCCTGATGTCTCCTTGGTTTTTTGGTACGTTTTGACTTTGTTTTTTTCTTATTTTTTGATCTGTGGACTTTGGACTCCTGGTTTCATGTCTGTTTGGACTTTGTTTTCCTTTTGATTTTTTGTATTCCTGGTTTCTCTGTTCATTTGGACTTTGGTTTTCATTTTGCATTTTTTGATAACCTGCCTCTGTTTTCAGTTTTTTATTATTCATCATTAAATCACTTTAAAGATTCACCTCTACCTTCCTGCCTCTACCTTTGGGTCGTCAACCCCCAAACAAATCCTGACAGCTTGTCCTCCATCTTCTGGGACTACGGCGTCTGGGACTCTATGAGCGGCGCCCCCTGCGTCTTGTTGTCAGCTAACGGCTGGTTACATGCAGAGAGGGAATTTCCCCATTGTGGATCACATTTACATATTTAACAAATGCATGGACTAGTTTCTCAGCATCACCCCTGGACAGGAGATTTCTCATTTTTGCAATATTCCTCAGATGAAAGAAGGAAATTCTAGAAACTTCTTTAATCTGGGATTTAAATGACAGGTCCTGATCAAAAACAACACCAAGATTTTTTACTTTATTATCTGAAATCAGTTTAATCCAACACTGCCAAAACGATCTAGAAATAAGTCAAAATTTCTTAAATTAAATGTATTTACCCTTCATTTCAGTGGGTGAATGCCAAACAAATTAGTATTTTTATTCTTAAAATAAGATAATAAGATAATATGCTCGTGGAATAAGACAATGCAGTTGTTTATTTCTTATTTTAAATGTAACTCCTCTTGTTCTATTGGCAAAGCTTCTCACTCACCTCCTGAATTAAAGAACAGATGCATTTATTTGAAGAAAAAATTAACTATTTAGATTTCAATTATTTTCACGATAAACTAATTTATCTGCTCCCTTAAAGCTACAGTATCTGATCATTTTAGGGGTTTTACTGACAGAAATGTAATAATTTATGCGTCTGTCTGTTATAAATTATCATCTATAAACTCATCGTCTCCATATTTGCCTTGCTTTAGAAATTACCATTTATAATAACATAGGAGGGGGTTCTCAGGTAGGGAGGCAGACTTTTAGAGCTACGGCAGCTCAGAGCTGATAAACTATTAACTGAAGAGATCTCCATCACGCTGGAATGTGAAAAAACAGATGATTAAATATGAAGAACAATCAGAAGGGATTATTTAAACTAACCTAAAATCTGTTGGATCTGTAATATTTCCAGAGAAACTTCCGACGTGTTCAGACTGTAAAGCAGGGAGTCTCTTCAAATGCAGGTTTTAACAGCAGCTTTGTTTCCTGTAGTGCTGTTTGTTTGCTGACTGTTTATCTTCACTCAAAGCCTTTGATGTGGTGTTGCCCGTATTCATGCGCCTTCCTGAATAGGCCATAAAAGCACTAATCCCTTCTTCCACTGTCTATTCATTTCTTTGTATTACCTGCTGCTTTCCCTGCACACGCCTCCACACATCACAGGCTCCTATTATTCATATTTGCTGCTGTACCAACAGAGCTGCATGTTCACAAAGAGGCCAACGGCAACTCAGCGCCTCCCTGTTTAATGGGAAAAGGTCCATTATTGCCTGAGTCAGTGCAGATCAGATTGGAGCTCTGCTGTGGGATAATAAACTTGGTGCTTTTCCTCTTCTATCTACCTGCTCATCAGCTAAAAACACACAACAGTTGGACTTGTTTTACATGTTTTAGCTCATGTTGACCCAAACATCTTGGGAAGATGTTCAGAGAACTTTGTTTTTATCAAACTTTCCTCTTAAACTGAGGCTTGCATGTATTTCAGCGCTGGAGTTGCCTTTATATTCTGATTAGCGGCTCAATGCTTTGGGTTTCCTTTCCTTCCATCAGCTTTTCCCAGAACTCTGAAAGCGTCTTGATGCTGTTGGTCTGACAGATTAGCTGGAACCGGGTTTAGGATTTAGGATTGGGTCTCGCCCGTTCAGCTCTGTCTTTAGGACTCCTGCTAACTGATTTGGTGAAGTCCAAAGGGACATGTTCTGTTTTCACATATCTAAAGTCAGGCATACACTGTACGATTTTTTGCCAGTTTTTGGGCCGATTCTCCAGTCATGCGAGAATTTTTAGATCGGGCCGACTTTCAGACTGATGGTGTACAGGGGTTTAAAGCTGGACGTAGAGTAGCAGCCATTTAAAATGACCCTTCCCGGTCAAACGTCAGCTGAATGGCAGCCCTCACCCTGCAACCCCCAGTAGAATCCCCTCCAACTTCCAGCCACTGCAGTGACCCCCTCTTGCATGTTTTATTACTCCACCCTTTCACTGAATTACAGGGTCTGACCAGGATTTGGCGGTCATCTTTAGATCTAAATGTCCACAAATCGTGATGTTTAAAAAATAATTGTAGTGGACCAACCAATGACCAACCAAGGACCAGCCAAGGACCAACCAAGGACCAACCAAGGACCAGCCAATGACCAGCCAATGACCAGCCAAGGACCAGCCAAGGACCAGCCAAGGACCAACCAAGGACCAGTCACGGACAAGCCAAAGACCAGCCAAGGACCAACCAAGGACCAACCAAGGACCAGCCAAGGAAAGTGAGCAATGTTTGAACTGTCGGATTTGAGCATAAAGGCCTACAGGGCGAATGAAGCCTCTGATGGTGATGTAATCAATGCAAAGAGAAAAGCAGAAATCTTCAATTCTAAGTTCAGATTCTAAGTTAGCGAAAAAGGGAAATACAAGAACTGCTACGTGGGTAAGGAATCTATGTTTTAAAATAAATCTTTTCCAGATAATCACAGAAATTAAAAGAGCTAAAAATGTTAAAGTTTAATGTAGTTAATTATGTCTAAATTTAATTTATTTTTCTACCTGGGTTCAGGGGACTTAAATTCCATGATTTTAAAAACTTTTTCTGATGTTTTTCGTTTTATTTTACTTTGTAAGATGTGGGATTTATTAAATCTGTTTATTTGTGGTTCTTGTTTTTGCACTTCTGTGTTACGATGCAATTGGAACGATGTGACAGTTACTGTGAGTAAGTAGCATCCTAGTTTACTCTGTCGCCCTTAGCACCAACACTACAGGATGCACAGAAACGGCCTCTTGGCACTGCAGCAGCAGCTACGTGGCAGAAACTAAGGGCCCCCATGGAGCTTTGGC